AGCTAGCTCTCTGGCCCTCATCTTGTACTGAGTGGGTTTGTCTGGATCAGAGAATCTCCACCAGGCGACTCCCTCCCCAGAGAGGTGTTACTGATAAGGCAGCCTGTGCCTGTGGATGGCACGGAACAGGAGCAAAATGTCAACTCCTGGTTCTGATGAATTCAATTTCCAAATTCTAAGAACCCAGTGACATAGTCTCTGCAGAAATGTCCTCACCCTATATGCAGGAGGAAAAAAAAGTAACCCCCGGCCCCCAGATGTTGGGGCAATTCAGCTTCTGCTGGTGTTAAACATAGAAAGAGCAGGGCTGTGCTGGCTCTGTGTGCCCGCCGATACCATGTTGGGATGACCGCCATTCCCCCACCCAGAGGTCCAAACAACATTTAAAAAGTCTCATCCTATACATTGTTCTGATGCCTGGAATTCAAGACATCAGAAGATGTCATCGTCAAAGAGACAAAGCCTTTCTTTCTTTTTCTTTTCTTTTTTTTTTTTTTTTTTTTTTGAGGCGGAGTCTCGCGCTCTAGTCCAGGCTGGAGTGCAGCGGCGCGATCTCCGCTCACAGCAAGCTCCGCCTCCCGGGTTCCCGCCATTCTCCTGCCTCAGCCTCCGGAGTAGCTGGGACTACGGGCGCCCGCCACACGCCCGGCTAGTTTTTTGTATTTTTAGTAGATACAGCGTTTCACCATGTTAGCCAGAATGGTCTCGATCTCCTGACTCGAGATCCTCCCGCCTCGGCCTCCCAAAGTGCTGGGATTACAGGTATGAGCCACCGCGCCCGGCTGACAAAGCCTTCACTTCTGCAATAAAAAACAAAGCTGAAGATATAGATACCCTCAGGACATGTAATACTGAAGTTCACTCCAAAATGACTGCAATTACTTCTTTTTCTTCACAGTTTTGTGTGAGGAAAGGAAAAGGAGGGAATGATTGGAGAGCAATTTCAGAGAGGGGAGAGTTCCTTTTCCATGTAAAAAGGAGCAGTAAGGGGACAAACCGTTTCCACATTCAAGTTCTGCTTGAAGCCTGGTAGGAAAAGCTGGCTAAAAAACAGGGGAACATTTTTAATAAGAAAAATATACATGAATGTATTCATAGCGGATAGAAATAGCCTTAAATATGTAAAGGAAGAAGGAAAACCATCCGGAAATACTTACTGCCAGCCCTCCAAGAAATATGAGATGGAAAATTACAATGAGCTTCCCACAAAGCTGCTCCAACCGGAGGGCGTGACTTTTCTGAGTCCTTTTTCGTACTTAACAGCATGTCTGGTAATGTTTCAGGGAATCTCATTACTCTTTATTCCTTATTTCTCCTCATGGAGAGATACATTTGGCTGCATTTTCTTTTTTTGGAAATGCACTGTTTTAGTTTTGCTTTTGTCATTTTTGAGAAAATACATATATTGTAACATTTGCCCCCTTTATATTTGACAAACATTTTTACGTGGATGATAGATCTCTATGAGAAAATGTCTAATGCTGGGATAGCCATTAAATATCTTTCATTTCTATAATTATAGGAAGTCCAAGTTATGATATGTGTCTCTCCTGTTCCAACTGTCCTTTTTGGGAGGAAGTTGCACATACGTGATAAAGACAGAAGGTCAATACTTGCATAGTAAAGTTTTGTCTGTGGGCATCATTTTACAACTAGAAAGCACTGTGGTAATCGTCTACTTTAAGCTGAAGGAAAAACAGGCCCACAAAAGTTAAAATATTTAATATTTGACCATTGGTACCAAAGATGAAACTAGAATTTAAATTATTTTTTTCTTCACGCTGGAGAATCTCACACCATGAGTACTTCAACAGGGGGCCCTCTCAAGTAAAGTGGGCTGTAGATATTGGCTGATGGCAGGAAGATCAGGAGGCTGAGATTTTTGTCTTAGGTCACTGCAACATAGCCCAGAAAATAATATTGACTATCTGGTGTCACATTTTCTCTTTTTTTTCTTTCTTTCTTTATTTTTGTTGTTGTTGTTGTAGCTGAGACAGCATCTTGCTCTGCCACCTAGGCTGGAGTGTAGTGGCATGATCATGGCACACTACAGCCTCAACCACCTGGACTCAGGTGACCCTCCTACCTCAGCCTCCCAGGTAGCTGGGACTACAGGCATGCACTGCCATGCCTGGCTAATTTTTTGTATTTTTTGTAGAGACATGGTTTTGTCATGTTGTGCAGGCTGGTCTCAGGCTCTCAGGTTCAAGCAATTCACCTGCCTCGTCCTCCCAAAGTGCTGGGATAACAGGCATGGGCTACCACATCTGTCCTTTTCTTCTTTTTAAAAACACTTTGTTTTAACTTTTATTTTGATACAAGGGGTACATGTGCAGGTTTGTTATATGGGAATATTGCGTGATGGTGAGGTTTGGAGTGTGGATCCCATTACCCAGATAGAGAACATAGTACCCAATAGGTAGTTTTTTCAACCCCTTCCCTTCCTTCCTCTGTCCCCACCTAGTAGTTTGCAGTGTCTACTGTTCCTTTCCTTGTGTGCATGTGTGCTCAATGTTTTGCTCCCACTTATTAGTGAGAACATGTGGTATTTGGTTTTGTTTCTGTGTTCATCCACTAAAGATTATGGCCTCCAGCGGCATCCATGAAAAGAATGAAATTGTGTCCAGCTGCAAAGGACACAATTTCATTCTTTTTCTGGTTATGTAGTATTCCACGGTGTATATGTTTCTTTATCCAATGTACTGTTGATGGGCACCACAGTTTCTTTATCCAATCCACTGTTGATGGGTACCTAAGTTGACTTGATGGTTTATTGTGAATAGTGCTGCAATGAACATTCAAGTGCACATGTCTTTTTGGTGGAATAATTTGCTTTCTTTTGTAAACACCACTGCACTCGGACCAGCCAATTTGCTTTCTTTTGGGTATATGCTTATTAATAGGATTACCGGGTTGAATGGTAGCTGTGTTTTAAGTCTTTTGTGAAATCTCCAAACTGCTTTCCTGATGTCACATTTTCTTCTTTTACTAAGCCACCTAATGTGCCCAATTATTTTTGAGGTCTTCATTTTATCTTCAGTGAACTCTTGAATGTCTTTTTTTTTTTATTTTTATTTTTTTTTAAAGTTCTATACCCTGGAATCTAGAAAGTGGGATTAGCATGGAAAACCAGATTACAGGAACAGTAGAAATAGTGGGCTGAAAGCACACTTATTTTAAAATGTCTCCGGATCATAGTTTCTGTCTGTATTGCATCAGCAATGATGATGTTTTGATTAACTTGGGAAAGGTTGAGTTTTTCAAAGTTCTTTCTCAGTAGCATGATTTGATTGGCTACAGTAAGTAGTTGTGAGTGATGCTCAAAGGCCTTCTTCTCCATATACTCTCTAGGCCCAGGTGGGTAGATGTACAGGTTGTGGCCTGCACAAGGGCACCAGGCCTGGCAGGATGGAAGTGGAGGCTGAGGTAGAGCCCACGCTCTGGTCGTCAAGCTCTATACCCTGAAAGGGGTTGCAACAGCTAAAAGAAAGGGACACCAAAGCCTCTCCATAGTCCTGCATTTGACTTCACTTTAGTGCCAGCATGATTTGTGTAGACTCTTGTGTAGGATTAACTAGTTTAAGAAGTAGACCACCACAGTGAAGAAAAAGACATCAAGGGAACTAAGAAACATATTGAATCACAATATGTATGCCCTGGCAAACATAACTCCCTCCAAATGCCTCTTTGTATATTTATTCTTTATTGGTTCAAATTAGACATCAAAGAGTTCATTTAGGGCGGTGACCACATTCACATAATGAGAGTGGAAAAATATTTCAGTCAAAAATCAGGTCTTGATTGTGGAAATCATACAGGAGTGAAATATTATGAATGTAATGAATATTGGAAGACTTTCAATTCTAAGTTTACATGACACCAGACAATTCGTGCTGGAAAGAAGAGAGAAGGAATTCTCTAGATGTGGTAAGTCCTTCGGTTGCTGGTCAAATACCTTTCATCACCAGAGAGCTTATACCCAGTTAAATATGTGGTGCAGTCAATGTAGAAATATGAGGACTTAATCGAATGGAAGATCCCCATTTGATTCAAGATCCTTAGTAGATTTTTAACTTATTAAGAACAAATTCCATGTTTTTCTAATTCCATTTTGATTTTACTCGGCAAAATGTCACTCAACAAGGGTTATTAGTTGAAGTGTTGAAGACATATGAGAGGCCTCCTGCCGCTCAGAGATTTTTGTTTTTCCTAAATGTCTGTTGCCCAAGGCATAGTCCCTTGCCTTTTCTTATGTTGTTTTCTGTGCCAAGAAATCTTTCTCCATCTCTTCAACTTAACACTCTAAAATGTCAGTTTCTTTGTCCAGCTGTCTTTGACTTTTCTAAGATGAGTTAGTCACCGCCTCCAGCCCTACCTTCATACGTTATTCATAAACGTACTACAATTCCTGGCGTTATAATGGTTTGTTTATGGCTTGCTATGCCAGTGGATTGTGAATTTTCATTGCTGTTTTAATTGTTGGATGAATGGGTATCTTGGCAGTGCTAAGAGAAAATGCTTTTATGTAGTTTGATGTTCTCAGAAACATCTGTCGCTAGAATTAAAAAACAGAAGAGAGTTTAAATCAATATTTTTTAAAATTTTGCTCACATTATAATAAAAAGCACTACTGAGAAAGAATTAGACATGGTCCTTTTCCCTAAAAGTAGTAAAAACATGCTGGGTGTGGTGGTTCACACCTGTAATCCCAGCGACACGAGAGGCTGAGGTAGGAGGATCACTTGAGCCCAGGAGTTGGAGGCTGCAGGGAACCAGGACTGCATCACTGCTCTCCAGCCTAGGTAACACAACAAAACCCCCATTCTAAAAATATAAAAGTAGTAACAACAGTCTAGTAGGGGAGATAAGGCATGTAAATAAACGACCACCGGGTGAGGCAGAAAAAGTGTACTGAGTGTGTAACGCCAAAGGTTCTTGCCTTAGCCATGCCAAAGAGTTGGTGTGGCGGCTGCCCGCGGAGAGTGATGGAGACACGGACCGAGAGAGAAAAAGCTGTAAGCTTTATTGAGCAGAGTGACAGTACAAAGCTTCCATAGCGTGGAAGGGGTCCCGAGCGGGTAGCCAGAGTTAGTTTATGCAGTTGCCTTTTAAATTCTTTAAGGCAGGAAATATGTGCAGGGGAAAGATGTTAACAGAGCGAGAAACAAAGGCAGTAAATTATTTTGTGTGTCTTACATTTTGAGGAAAACCAGAATTGTAACTTAGGTTTTATCTACTTTATGACCTTGCAGCGGCGTGGCAAAGGAGACAGGATTTTATGGACCTTACAAAATATGTTTACAAGGAATTGGAATTGGGAGCATAGATAAGGTCCACTGGTCACAGAAAAATGGGCATTTAACTTTCATTTTATTAGTTTCAGGGGAGGGGGAAGGGAGACAGGGAGAAAGGACACAGGGAAGCTTACAGCAAAATTTTCGCTGTTTATAGCTTTCTTGGGGTAGAAAACACATGCACAAATCCTGGTGTTAGGAATATTTTAAGCATATATTTTCAGTATTATTCATCCAGGACCGAAGCAAGTCCTGATGCAGGAAATAGTGAGTTTCACAGCTTTCTGAGCCCCTACTCGACCCAGGAAGCCCGGCTGGCCCCTCCTCCCAGTCCTCCCTCTAGTCAGGACACCCCAACTGCTGTTGGGAACTGGGCAGCGGCCAGTCTGGCTACTTTTTGCTGGTTAGGGGCGAAGAAGGGGCTCTGCAGCTGTGGTGTCCTCCAGAGGGAAACATTTTAGGCCAGTTGAGGGACCAGCGGGTTGATCCAGGTGTCCTCGATAGAAGCCGTGAGTTGAGCTTATTTGAGGTTCCATTTGTAAGACCATCTGTAGCTTGATGGCCTCAATCCTGGAGAAAACAGATTTGACAAGGAGGTTAAAAATGCAAGGCCCAAGGGTGAATAATAGTAGGATGACTGTCACAGGGCCTAGAAAGGGGAGGAGCCAAGATATCCATTGGTTAAACATATTCCAGGGTCCTGAGTGTTCAAGCTCTTTTTTCTTACTTTTTATCCTCTTTTTTTTTTTTTTTTTTTGACCTTTTTAGTAATGATTTCTGACTGGTTAATGAAATAGCAACATTCTTTTCCTAAGAAGAGGCAGGTGCCTCCTCTTTCAGCCGTTGATAGGTTTAGGGCTCTTCGGTTCTGAAGGACTATTGCAGCTAGAGAATTAAGCTGGTTTTGTAGGGTCACTAGGGAGTCAGAATGCTGGGGAATGCAGAAGAAGGCATCTTTGAGGTCTAGAACAGAACCATTCTGCTTTCTCTGGTATTTGAGAGAGCAGTGTATGGGGGTTGGGTACAGCAGGATATGAAGGAATTACTGCCTTATTGATGATTCTGAGGTCTTGCACTAGTCTCCACTGACCATTTGGTTTGACTGTTGTATTTTCTTACTAAGCCTTGAGCTTTTAAATATCTAACGATATCCTGTAATCGTTGTGAGCTTTAGGCCTGAAGGGATATTGCCTTTGATAAGGAAAAGTGGTGGGGTCTTTTAGCCTAATTTGAACTGGATGGGCATTCTTTGCCTTTCCAAATTGTCATTCTAAGGCCTAGACTTTAGAGTTGATTCCTTTTTCAAGTAGGGGACAACAAATGGGTAATTTGTTTCCCGTATTCATGTAGATAATAGCCCCAGCTTTGGCTAATATGTCCCTCCCTAATAAGGGTATGGGACTTTTGGGCATAACAAGAAAGGCATGTGAAAAGAGCAAAGTCTCCCAATTACAACTGAGGAGGTGGGAGAAATACCTGGTTACAGGCTTTCCTAAGATTCCTCAGATAGTAACGGACTTTGAGGACAGTTGTTCGGGGCAGGAGATTAAAACTGAGACGTTCATGCCAGTGTCCAGGAGGAAGTCCACTTTCTGGCCCTTAATGGTCAAACTTACCCGGGATTCTGTGAGGGTGATGGTATGAGCTGGCACTTGCCCCGGGCACCCTCAGGCCTGTTGCTGAATCATCTGGGTGTTTCTGGCCCAGAGGGCCTTTGTTCTCTGGGCAGTGCACCTTCCAGTGATTGCCTTGGCATATTGGACATGGGCGAGGGGGCGGTTTATTTCTGGTTGGACAATTTTTCTTTAAGTGTCCTTGCAAACCGCACTGATAATAAGCCCTACTAGGCAATTGGCCTGCTCCTCTCTTGGTTCCCTCTGAGCCACCAAGGTTTGCCTGTCTGAAGGCCATGGCTAAGGCTGCAGCCCTTTTTTAATCTCACTTTTCCCTTTCGGCCTGTTCCTCTTGGTCCCTGTTACAGAACACCAAGGTTGCCAGATTTAGTAATGTTTCCAAATTTTGTTCTGGGTCTAAAGCAGACTTCTGGAGTTTTCTCCTAATGTCAGCCACTAATTGGGGGATAAATTTATCCTTTAAAATGAGTTGGCCTTCTGCGGAATCTGGAGTTAGGGAGGTGTGCTTTCTTAGGGCCTCCCTTAGCCTTTCTAGAAAAGCAGAGGGGTTTTCCTCTTTTCGCTGTGTAATTGTGGATAGCATTGAGTAGTTCATAGGCTTTTTCTAGGCTTCCTCAACCCTTCTAAAATGCAAGTTAGCAAATGCCTGCGGCTCCAGTCTCCACGATCTGAGTCAGTATCCCAGTGAGGGTCTATAGTGGGGACTGCCTGTTGCCCTGTGGGGAATTTTTCCCTCTCCTCCTGGGCCATTCGATTGTTTACCTGACTAAGGTACCACAGTTCCCCAAATTGCCGAGCTGCTGCTAAAGCTACTTCTTTTTCAGTAGGACTTAAGGTCTGATCAAGAAGTAACATGATATCTCTCCATGTTAGATTAAAGGACTGCTCCAATGCTTGCAGGATATCTATATAGTTACCAGGATCTTCCGAGAATTTCCCTAAATCTGCCTTTATTTGTTTTAAATCTGAGAGTGAGAAGGGGGCACGCACATGAATGGGCCCAAATGCTCCTCCTACTGCTTGTAAGGGACATAGTTTGGGTGCCTGGCTCGCGGAGCTTATGTTCTCTTTCCAGTGTGCCTTTAACACTTCGGTGGGGCTAGATGGAGGAGAGTCAGTTGCGGAGGAGAGTGGGGCAGAGGGAAGAGGCCCTGAGTATGGAGGCAACTGTGGGCCTCTGTCATTTGGGCAAAGCTTGCATGCTTGGCACAGGGCAGTATTGTCATGAAGATCAAAGAAAGCCTGTACATAAAGGACTTTACTCCATTTACCTTTCCGTTTACAGAATATGTCTAGTTGTAGAAAGGTGTTATAATTAATACTTTCCTCAGAGGGCCGAGTTTCTCCATTTTGTAAGGAATACTGTGGTCAGGCAGTGGTACAGAAGAAATCAGCTGCTTTTTTTTTTTTTTTAAGGTTTCAGGGTTGAATTTGTTCCAATTATTCGGGATACATCTTAGGGGAGTGTCCGGTTTTGAAGGTGTGGTGCCCATCTGGAATTTTAAACACAGGGATGCCTGCACCCCTGGTTAGTCCTGGGACTTGTCTTCCCTTAGGACGTCCCCCAAGGGTCAGGTCCAATTGTGCTCAAAGCTCATGGCTACTTTTCCTGAGCCCTCCATCTACCGGATTTAACCATGCTTACCGGCAGGATGGAAACTTCCCTTGCCCCTGCCATGCACCCATTGACCACTAAATGGGGCACAAGAACTGTTGGATTTATTGTGGTCCTTTTGCCAGCGCGTTCTACCTGTTCCAGGGTGGCAAGGCCTGGGTCAGGGGCACCACTGATGCTTGCACGCCAAGGCCCAATGTACGTGGACCTGGCCATAAAACTGTCCTTTAAGGAGAAATCTCTGAATTAGTGATAGGAGGCTTAGTAAGCTTAAAGGGAGTGGTGGATGTCCTCTAGGCCAGGGCCAAGAGAACAGCTGCTGTACTCTAGCCTTCTGTCCCCACTTACCATCAAAGGAGTAAGCTCCTCTCTCAAGGTGGTACCAGTATCCTGTGTGTGTCCCAACTGACTATATTTTCTTTCGTTCAGTACCAATTATCAAATGGTTGAAATAACAATTCAACGGCTCTAAGAGTTGTACCCATGCACTGTAGATTGTACTTGAGAGACCCCAAGGAAGGGGAAAGTCTATTTGGGGAGCAATGGAGGAAATGCCCTAAGGCTTCTATTATCCACACGAAAATTACAGCCCTGTCTTTAAATTGTCCTGATGGGGGGGCCCATACACTATGGTGGGGAAACTGGCCCTTTAAAATAGCCATCAAATGGCGACACCTGCCTAAACCCTGAAGGGCACTATGAACAGGGATCTTCTGGGCACCACCCCAAGAACTTAAGACTTTTAAATAGGGAATTTTGGTCCTGACTAGTGGCAATAACCGTGCTTACGAAATGAGGAAAGAAGTCTAGCGGGCAGACATTGGGACCCAGGAGGCAGGGGTCAGAAGATGTGGCTGTCTCACGCTCAGTGACCCTTGCAGGGGGAGCCTCTGGCGGGGCCACAGTCTCAACCAGGAAATCTGGGCGACTTGGACGCGTGCTGAGCACTCCTGGGTGTACTTTGGGGACCACCACGGAAAGTGAAAGAGTTAGAACTGAGTCCAGGCTAACCAACGCCCCCAATCCTGAAGGGTCGAGGGTTGTTAGAGAGCCCTTTTCCAGACAGCCTGACACCCGTGTCTTTAGTCTGGTGGCCACACTAATCACCTTCAAGTGGCCAACAGGTGCCCAGTTTTTAGCCTCCTAATTCTAAGGAAGAACAGGACAGAATAGCAAGTGAAAGAGGTCCTATTGTACTCACCGCGTGACGATCTAGATGCCTTTCCTGGATCTCCTGGCTGACTCGCCAAAATGTAACGCCAAAGGTTCTTGCCTGAGCCATGCCAAAGAATTGGTATGGCAGCTGCCCCTGGTGAGTGATGGAAACACAGACCAAGAGAAAAAAAGCTGTAAGCTTTATTGAGCAGAGCGACAGTACAAAGCTTCCACAGCGTGGAAGGGGTCCCGAGTGGGTAGCCAGAGTTAGATTATTCCGTTGCCTTTTAAACTCTTTAAGGCAGGAAATATGTGCAGAGGGAAGATGTTACCAGAGCAAGAAACAAAGGCAGTAAATTATTTTGTGACATATCTTAGATTTTGAGGAAAACCAGAATTGTAACTTAAGTTTTATCTACTTTATGACCTTGCAGTGGCATGGCAAAAGAGACAGGATTTTACAGGACTTTACAAAATATATTCATAAGGAACTGGGATTGGGAGCATAAGGTCCACTGGTCACAGAAAAATGGGCATTTAACATTTCTTTTATTAGTTTCAGGGGAGAGGGAAGGGAGACAGGGAGAAGGACACAGGGAAGCTTATAGCAAAATTTTCGCTGTTTATAGCTTTCTTGGGGTGGAAAACACATGCACAAATCCTGGTGTTAGGAATATTTTAAGCATGTATTTTCAATATTATTCATCCAGGACCAAAGCAAGTCCTGATGCATGAAATGAGTGAGTTTCACAGCTTTCTGAGCCCCTACTCGACCCAGGAAGCCCGGCTGGCCCCTCCTCTCAAGTATGTCAAGAGAAATACAAGTGAAGTGTTACGGAAGAGCAGAAGGGAAGACCTTACTTCCTGCTTTGAGTTGGGAGTAGGGGGGTCAAAGAGAAGATATTGGCTTTTTGTCAATATCTGGCAGCCTGGTTGGATGATGGTGTTCTGGCTCTCACTCCTGGAGGCCCAGCTTAGAGCTTGCTCTTGCAACCCTTTTGATAATTTTATAAGCACTCAGATTCTCTGAATCAGGTCTTTGTTAAATTACATAATGAGAGTATTTTATGGCTCCTGTGATCTACCCTTACCTGATACACTTCCTCACATTCAGAATCAATCTAAAGTCCTTACCAAGGCCTACCAGCCCGGAACCATCTAGCCTTAGCCACTCTCTTACAGTCTCTTTCACTGACTCTGCTTAAGCTACATGTCATTTTTGCATTTTTGTTCTTCCCTGAACACACTAAGCTTGCCTCTACTTAGGGCTTTGGGACCTGCTCTTCTTATGCTTGTGGATCTATGGCATGACTCGTTCACTTTTTTTTCATGTCTCTGCTCAAATATCACTTCTTCATGGAGATCTTCTCTGACTACCTATCTAGAATATCACTGCCTGTCAGCTTGTCCCTTTACCTTCCTTTTTTTTTTTTTTCATTATACCTATTATCTATCATAATTTATATTTGGTTAAAGCCTGTCTGCCCCCATTGAACAATAAGCTTTTTGCTAATTGCTCTATTCTCAGAGGGTCAAACAATTCTTGGCATACAATAGGTGTCTCATAAATATTCTTTGAATGAATTCCCATTTTACAGAAGAGGAGACCTGAGGCAAAGAATGATTAAGTGACTTATCTGGGTTTACACGGTGAATGGCAGAGCTGGAGTGTGAACCCAGGTGGTCTGACATGGGAGTGTTTGTTGTTCTGCAGGACACCGCATTGCTTCCCCAGCATAGCCAGCCTTCCTTCAAGCCCCTGTGTACCCCATCTGAAGAAAAACTGGTACTGCTGTTAGAAAAAGAAAAGAAAGATAAAATGCTTAAGCATTTGCCTGTCCAAGAGAGGGATGTCCTGAACTACAAATACAACCGCCTGCCCGTGGGACAGCAAACCCCTGTGGTGGAGACAGGTGGCAGAACAACAACAAAAAAGACGTGGCTCAGCACCCTGCTTGTGAGATCCTGCAAGTAACTCCACCCACTCAGCCTGATTCTAAAACCATTCGTCCCGCTGCTTCCCAACCTGCAAATAGACACAATGCTCTCAAAATTACGTCCTCTCTACTTTACACCTGGATATTATCAAGAGGGTCGGGGGATTTTTAAGTCCCACAGGGGCTAGTTTTTACTCTTGTCCCATTATCCTCATTCTTTTTTTCCTTTTTCCCCCTTCTTTCAGTTTTTTCTAAAATTTCTTTTCTGTTCTCTCCTTACAGTTTAACAAACGAATCCATTCAATGATAATTTTACACATTTAAACATATTAACTGAAACACAGAAATAACAAAAAGCGTTAACTTGTTAATAGTTCCGCTTTAGGCCATCAGAGAGGGAGGCTGATGGCTTGTGTCACTGGGCCCTTTTGTCACCGGACTAGGGTTAGGTTCTCTGTCATTTTCTCTCATGCAATGCTGTGTTGTAGCTCCCTGTGAGTCTCCACGGTGTAGTGAAATGAGCAAAGCTCTGCTTTAAGGCAAGTCTGGGCTCACGTGCTGGCCTACCTCTTACTGGGGTGTCCTTTGCCAACTTTCTTACCTCTCTCAGCCTCTGATCAAAGCTCACTGCATCCTCAACCTTCTGGGGACAAGCGAGCCTCCCGCCTCAGCCTCCCAAAGTGCTAGGACTACGGGCATGTGCGACTATGCCTGACCTCAGCCTGTTTTCTTATCTGTAAAATTGGAACAACAACAAAAAAATCTTCTTTGTAGAGTTTTGTGAGAATTAGAGATAATGGATGTAAAAAATCTGGCGCAACTAATGAAACACAGTAAAACTACAAAAGGAAAGCAAATTTTTCCTCTTTTTTCCCTATGTTAAAACATAATAACATTAAATGATTATTCTGACTGAATGTGGAATTAATTTGCATAATTCATTTTCTGAACATATATCCTACCTATTAGATATTGAACTACTTTTTTTTTTTATATTCCTAGACGGAGTCTCGTTCTGTCACCCAGGCTAGAGTGTAATGGTACGATCTCGGCTCACTGTGACCTCCGCTTTCCGGCTTCAAGAGATTCTGCTGCCTCAGCCTCTTGAGTAGCTGGGATTACAGGCATGTGTCACCGCACCCGGCTAGTTTTTGTATTTTCAGTAGAGACGGGGTTTCACCATGTTGGTCATGCTGGTCTCGAACTCCTGATCTCGTGATCCAACCACCTCGGCCTCCCAAAGGGCTGGGATTACAGGTATGAGCCACCACACCTGGCCTGAACTACTTTAAAAAATCTTTGTTCAAGTAACTGTTGCAAGATATTTTCATTTAAGTGTGATTTAAATTAACACTCTATATTGTTCTGTATCTGAGTTTTCTAAAAGATAAAATAGATCTTTTGTCTGAATTTAAATTTAATCACATAATACTGTGCGATTATAGTCCATTTATATTTAGACTGATATGCTTCACTATTGTCTTTTCCAGTATGGAAGGCAAATTGTATGAGGAACTATCCTATTCTAATTATATGACTTCAGTGTCTTCTATAACAATTTTTAATTGTTAACACCCAGTACTTTTTAGGGTGCAGGGAAATGGGTGCTCTTAAACATTCTAATGGAAGTTAAATTGAAGCAGTCTTCTTGAGAGCTACTTGGCTTAGAGAGTTCTTTAAAAGTTCACACCCTTGATTCCAATAATTCCACTTACAGGAATCTGTTCTAAGAAAATAAGATGTCCATAAGCTATTTTTGAATAAGGATGTTCACCAAAGCATCACTTTAAAATAGAGAAAAATAGTAAACCTCCTGAATGCTCAACAATAGAAGGATGATTAAGATACATTATTAGCTGATTAAAAATCATTTTGCACTTAATGGCACTGGAATATTTTGGGATATGATTATAACTTTAAAAACCAGAAAAATATAAAATAATATATATAAAATATAAGCATATAATACATTTAAAGTAGTATAAAAATAACTATATATGCTGCAATCCCAATTTTGTGAAGGAAACTCTATATTTACAGATGCCTAGAAAAAAGAATGAAAGGTCGGGCATGGTGGCTCACACCTGTAATCTCAGCACTTTGGGAGGCGGAGGCGGGCAAATTGCTTGAGCCCAGTAGTTTGAGACCAGCCTGGGTTACATGGCAAAACCCTGTCTCTACAAAAAATGCTAAAGTTAACCGGGAGTGGTGGCACATGCCTATAGTCCCAGCTACTCGAGAGGCTGAGGTGGGTGGATCACCAGGAAATCAAGGCTGCAGTAAGCCAAGATTTCTTCACTGCACTCCAGCCAGGGCATCGGGTGAGACCCTATCTCAAAAAAAAAAAAAAAAAAAAAAAGACAAGATATATAGGAAAATGTTAATGGTGTTGAGGGCAGTAGGAATTTTATTTTCTTCTTTGCAATTTTCTGTATTTTGTACATTTACTGTGATGAAAATATGTTATTTTGATAACCAAGAAAATCATTATAAAACAAGAAAAATAAATTTAAGTGATTTAATTTCACCCTTAACTGTAGACTTCAAAGTACCAATCAGCAGGTTGGAGCACCCCACAAGCAAATGGTAAGCTATGTGTAAGTCCCGTACTCACTATAGGTGCTTCCAGTCACATCTTTATGGTGCCTAACCCTAACTAGTTCTTGATGTTACCAAGTGTGAGGCAAGATGAGAAAGGCAGGAGTGCCTGTGGAGTGAGTGCCAGCCTCTTCCAGGCTCGGTGCCCAAGAACTATCCCTAACCATGCACACTCAGCTGAATGGTCTGTTTCAAATTTTCACTCACCCTTTCCTTACACTTTTCACTTCCCTGGGAGGCACTAGTGTCAGGCAGCTGTACTAGGCACTGGAAATATGCAGATATATGTTTTGCCTTCCTGTACTTCTGGCAGGAAAAAGAGAAGGAACAATAAACCAATGTGCCAGCTGCCACAAACAGCTGCAAGGGCACAGACACCTTAGCCCAGATTAGTTACCAGGACAGGCTTCTTGGAGGAGTTGATGTGTATTCCATATTTACTCCAAATGCACGCATATCTGTGACCCCTGTGGTGCCACAACTTAGCTTCAAAATTCTTTTATTTGTCCAGTCAATTCCATCTCCCATTCTGCTCAGGGAGTTCCCAACCTCCCCCACTTTCCTCACCTAGCTCACAACCTCCTCCCCTCAGCAGCCAAACCCACCTTTCCAGAAAAACTTGCAGTCTTCTTTTTTGTGTGCCAATCAGAATGACATATTGCCATTTTTCCATTTTCCCTTCACTACCAGGAAACTCAGTGTCAAAACTAGAGCTCAATTGCTATTTTATCCCAGATTCTCTGGAACAAAATCTCTCCTAAAAGATTTGTAATTTTTAACAATGGTAACACAATTTCATTATCAAGACTGGGGCCATCATATATCAACTACTTCAACGCTTTCCCAACCCTACTTTTCTATTTCTGTACCTTCTTTCCTTCCTTTCTATCCTCCAGTCTCAGAGAAATTAACTTATTTATTTATTTATTTATTTTTGATATGGAATCTTGCTCTGTTCCCCAGGATGGAGGGCAGTGGTGCGATCTTGGCTCCCTGCAATCTCCGATTCCTAGGTTCAAGGGATTCTCTTGCCTCAGCTTCCTGAATAACTGGGATTACAGGTGCCTGCCACCATGCCTGGCTAGTTTTTGTATTTTTTTTTTTTTTTAGCAGAGACGGGGTTTCACCATGTTGGCCAGGCTGGTCTTGAACTCCTGACCTCAAGTGATCCGCCTGCCTTGGCCTCCCAAAGTTCTGGGATTACAGGTGTGAGTCACCATGCCTGGCCAGAATTAACTCAAATTTATAAGTACTGCAGGTGACCTCCAGTGGAATTTCTTGGCTTGACTTCCTTGCCTATCTATAACCTTGCTATTCGTATAATTATTGTCTATAAACATGTGAATAACTCTGTCTAGTGGGTAGACAATCATTCTCTTCCCCACCCTAACCTTTCCCATGGAAAAAGTCAGTTTTGCAGTTGTTTATTAAATTCCTTTCAACATTCCTTTACAATATATAAATTTATAGTTCTCTGACTTCAAATCCATTGCACCATCTTTGCAATTTCCTCACTAAATAATATAAAATAATAATCTTTAACATGTCTTCTCTTTGTTTCTATGAGAGTTATGATTTTCCTTTTTAAAAAATTATTCTTGGCCGTGTGCAGTGGCTCATGCCTCTAATCCCAGCACTTTGGGAGGCCGAGGCAGGTGAATCACCTGAGGTCAGGAGTTCGAGACCAACCTGGCCAACATGGCGAAACCCCGTCTTTACTAAAGAATACAAAAATTATCTGGGCCTGGTGGTTGG